AATGTGAAACTAATTCCACATGAATCTCCTCTGTTCCCCCCCCCCCCCCCCCCCCCTTCCAAATGTAAAAAACAAGTTGAATTATTTTTGTGTCACAATAAAACACATTATATGAAGGATTATTTTGACTTAAAATTGAAATATAGGAGAAAAGTATGAGAATTTGGGGATGATTTAATTATATCAAATAGATTTATAGATTTAAAGGTTTTGGATGTTATGATTGATTCTAATTGTAATGATTATATAATAACTATAGGTTATTTGTTTCATATGACTCCTAATAAGCACTAATTTTTTTGGTACAATGAAATTGTTAGAGTGTTATTATGAAAAATGATGCAGCTTATAATCTCATTGAGATCAAAACTAATTAAATTAAGATGGATGATGGAGTTAATAGAACTTTTTCCAAAGTCACACATGTCTCGAACTTCAAAGAAATTTATTTTCTCTTTGTACTAGAGTGTTATTATGAAAAATGATGCAGCTTATAATGTCATTGAGATCAAACTAATTAAATTAAGATGGATGATGGAGTAAATAGAACTTTTTCCAAAGTCACACATGTCTCAAACTTCAAAGAAATTTATTTTCTCTTTGTATTTTTGATGCACTTGATTGTACTTTCAAGACTAAGTGGCATGCCAAAAGTTATTAGAGATTCGATCACTATTATGTAGGCATAAGATTGAAATGTTTACATTCACTCTGCATTGTAATAAACTTATATATGTTTAGAAGATATTTTTTTGTATAATAGAAATAGATCATGCAAAACTTCAACATTTTTAACTATCATATTAGTCAAAAGGATTTGAATGTTCTGCACGAATAAGGAGTCCTTAACAAAGATAACATTGATAAAATTATGTTTTTTAGTTTTATATCTTTGCGAAGCAGGCTTACATAAATGTTGCACAAGGCTATTGATTACATACATTTCGATATTTTGGGATCTTTCAACTTTATGTGAATGTAGAAATTTTATAATTTCCATTAATGATTCTTCAATACAAGTTTCGGTTTATATTTTAAAACATGCATGAAGCTTTTATGACGTTTAGACAATAAAAAGTCTCATTTAAAATCATACTAAAAAGGAAATCAAGAGGTTAAAAATAAATAATGATCTAGGATATCTTAATAGTGAAATATTTATTAAGCATTGAAAGTACAATAAAATTTTTTGACATAAAATAGTTAGATTAAATATATAAAAGAATGACATTATTATGAAGATGAATAGAACACAACTTGAGAAAGTTAGATGTATGCTATCACTTGCAAAAATGGATAAATGCTTCCAAGGTGAGGTAGTTAACACTACATGCTATTTGGTGAATAAAAGTCTATCTAAACCTCTTTAACTCAAAATGTTCTTGAGGAAATTTGAATAGGAAATTTGAAATCTGTAATCAATATATGACTTTTAGAATGCCTAGTATATATTCATATGTATACAAGAAAGTTAAAGGTATGATCTCAAAATTTTCTATTGTTAGGGTATCAAGTTGAAGATAAAGTTTATAAATGCTAGTTGACAAATGCAACCAAGTTTATTGTCAACGGAGTTGTTATCTTCAATGAGTAAGACATGATGTTTATTGATCAAACTACTAGAGAAAAATAGGGAACCACAATTAATACTAAAGATTTAGTATTTTAGCAAAGTAGTGACATTAAATCAATTGTATGTGAAGTTCATTCTAGCAAAAAAAAATAGTTTGGATTATCATAAAAAAGTTGTTACTCAGCAATATTAAATAGATCTGAATATAATCTAGCGAGAATCAAACTAGAAGAAATATAAAAAAAACATAAATAATTAGGTTATATTGATTTACTATATATATATATTATTAATGTTGTTGAGTAAATGTCACAGAATGATTTGAGAACAGATAATGAAGAAATGAATAGTGATAAGTAATTTTTTGAGAGAATGTAGTGGATAAAAAATGAAATCATTAGAAAAAAAAAATTATATATTAAAGCATGTTAACAAACCACATAATAAAAGAATCATAGGCTGCAAATAAATTTACAAATAAAAGATGGTGTTTTAGATGTTGACCATATTAGATATAAGGCTCAATTAGTGGTAAATGGTTCCACTCATAAGAAATGAATAGACTTCAGTGAGATTTTCTAAAATTTTGTCAAAAATATTTCAATTAGGATGATTTTTTTTTGTAGTTGCTAGATATAACTAAGGCTTGGAGCTTGAATAAGTAAATGTAAAACTAGCTTTTTTTCACTGAAAACTTGAGAAAATTGTTCATATGGGATATCTAGAGGGTTACACCAAATTTGATAAGAAAAATAAAGTTTATCTTCTCTATATGGGTCAAAGAAGTCTACGCGATAATGATATAAGAACTTTAATTTATTTATGGTTCAGAATTTATACAATAGGAGTGATTATGATATGTATGTTTATTATATTAGCTTCTCAGAAAATAATGTTATATGTTTCTTCTAAAAGTTTATAATATGCTCCTAGTTTGTGAAAAAATATAGAGAATAAAATACATAAAGAAAAGAATTAAGAGCAGATAAATTAGAATCAATTTATCAAAGAATCTACGGTAATAGGAAGTGGACCGGGTCTCCACCTTCCTCAACATCTTGTTCGAGCCAATGTAGATGTTTAAAAAAGTGTACATAGATGAGAATCTGATAGATTTCCTTACTAAGTGTTTAGAGCCGAATTCCATTACTGATTAACTCTACTTCAGGAAGGTAATTTTTTTTTTTTTTGGTTAAAGAGGTTTTTTGGAGAAATTGTTAGCTTTGCTTGTCTAGCACTCAATTCAATATCAATATTATTAATTAATTATAGATTACGTATTAGACTTAATTATTTTAATTGCAATTTTTCTTTTTTATTGCCTTATATGTAGATAATCTTATTTGTTTTTCTGTTGTAGCTTTCATTTATCTTTGGCTCTTTCCATATTTACCCTCAACAAGTTCAAACCGGGAGGGTGTGGAAATTATGATATGCAAATCAAGAGAGAGGCCGAGAGATTGCAGGTTGTGATCTGTCATTTGTCCAA